AAAGGGGGGGGGGGATGCTGCAAGAAACCTCGTAATAGACTGGGCAAGAAGCGCTGGATTCCAGCCACCAGGAGTGCTTAATCAACAAGCCAGCAGAGCAGGGGCGTGCGCACAAGGCAACAATTGACGAGGAAACCATGCCAATTCTGGGCTCGTAGACCATACATCCCAATGGACTTTGATCGTGCCTTGCATGGACTTGAGGATTCCGCATGATGGCCACTTTAGTTGAAGGGCATCCGTCAGTGGCTCTTCGTTGAGAACATTAATAGGCGAGAGAGAATTTTCAGGGGAGAGGTGGTTTTACTTGAGTTGGAAAGTGTTGATGATGCAGATGAATGTATGGACCAATCATTAGATATCTGGGCCGAAGTGAGATAAATATAGAATTCCCTGGCGTCCTTTCTGCATTGATATAATACAAACAAATCCCTAGCTCGGGCGGCAAGGACCTTAGACCTCACACATCGATAAATGTCTTTCGGCAGAATCCATTGGGCTGCACGGGATGTTCTGGGATCGCGAACTATGCGTGGTTCTGCTCCGTATGGGCCAGCGACATTTCCTCTGATATCAACGCCTAGCGTGTGAATGTATGTGTCCACCCGTTCATATGGGCATGTTGCAGGAAGTAGAGAATATTGTTATTCTGCGACAACAATGATAGATATGCAGCAGCACATTGCAGGCGTATTGTCGTTACTTATTCTCCCCAGGGGCAGGGACATCTCAACGTGCAGCCGGAAGCGAGGACTAATTTATAAATAGCAGAACCAATCAGTGGAGTCTCCGCCGACTTGACATGTGTACATGAGGACGATGGCTGGCGGAATATATTCGCTCAAAGCACGAACCTAATAAACAGACCATCGATAATCGAACAAAGCGTCGACTCTTGAGCCCTGAGCCGTATATGGGGAACAAAAAGGTTCCGGGTTAGAGCTACTGTGTACGGGGTATATAGTATATGGTATACAGTCCACCAGCAGCGAAATCCAACCCCTTAAACGTACAGTACATCTCGGTTGACGACCGTGCTTCCCAATAACGATAGTGATAACATGCAAAGTAACAGGCCAATTGTCAATTATACAGTGAAATGCCAGAAATAGAATCCCGCCATCATTTGATTCTGTTTTTATCCTCAACGAGCTCCTCGTCGTGGCACAGGGCAATCCGTTTATTTTTAGCAATCCACCCACTGTGGATCGCATGGTCGTGCGTCACAAGTAGCTGGTTTGAGGATACGAGGTGAAATCGCACTTGATGGCTGCATATTCCGATGGCAGCGATGGCGGTTTTCTCTGCTTGGAAGCACAATCGGAGCAGCGCATTGGCCTGTCGAATGGCTAGCGGTTTGTTCAGGTGCGTTAGCAGTGCTAAGTTACTGAGTTAGCTCCTGGAGGTTCAGAGGTTCAGAGGTTCAGAGGTTCCGGAAGCTTTTCTCTCACAAGCTGGAGGACGGGACTACGCCCGTCAATGGGGCCTTCTTCTGGTGCCTGGCTGGATTAAAAGGCTTCCCCGTCCCATACTCATCGCTTTTACCAGCATGATTTATCCCATGTACTGAGTAGATGTATATTCATGCCTGACATCACTATCTTTCCTTCATATACGATACAGCATATACAACATCCACAATGGGTGTCCTCCGCCTCCCTAACCCAATCGCCACATACATCCCGGACACTCGCTCCCGCCTTATAACTACATCCATGATCTCTCAACCCTTAAGTCCTGATCTTGACTCAAACTTCGGTGACGGAGCCCTTCCCACCACGGTTCTCCCCGCTCTAGAGTATATCTCCAACAAGCTTGGTGCTTGCACTCACTTAACAATCCTCGTCGGCTGCGGCGCACCTCTCCCCTTCGCCCACCAACCCGAGCTCACTCTCATCCCCATTGCCCCATTAGATCAGCAGACATGGCGGACGCTTCACCGCATTGTCCGGAAAGCCTCGAAGAAATTTTCTCTCGGCCTTGCCTGGTCCAATGCCCTCCAGCGCAGCCAACAACGCCAGTCCCTGAACGAGAACTGCAACGACTATCTCCTCCGCCAGTCCATTTTACAGAACGACGTCCTCTTTACCCAGGAGGGCCTGACCCTCCTAAGCATTGATCGTCTCTATACCATCAAGTGCAGACTGCACGCATACTCGCAAGGCGCTGCGCGCCAGAACGGCATCCCCGACCACCTTTACATTAAATCCTGCGTGAAATTGCTGAGGCAGACCGTCGCAGACTACAAGGGCCGACCATTCAGCCTGGCCTTCTTCAACAGGATCTACGAGGACCTGTCAGTTCCCGAGCACCTGCTGGTCGAGGTTGCCAACGAGTATCAGGCCAGGTATGCCCGGACGGGCATCGTGCTCCCCCAGAAGATGTCTCCGTCTGCCGCCCCTCCACCACCCAACGGACAGCAGCAGGCACAGCAACAGCCTCAAACGAAGAGAAAGAATGTGGATGGCATTAAGCGACTGCGCCCGAGAACTCCACTGAGTGCATCGGACGTCACGCCCATCACGCAGGGCGAGTGGCAGATGCTGCTCAGCAGCCAAGCACAGCGACCGCACGACAACATTACGCTTCACATTCCCTTTCCCGTGAAGCCGGTGGGCGCGTGAAAAGCATGATGGTGCGTCAAGGTCTTACAATCTTGGCATGGACGATTCGAATGAAAAACATCTACTTGGGAGAGGCCCGGTAATAAAAATAGGTCTCCAAAATACCGAAGAGGGTCACATTTCCTCGACCGGCCGCGTCGCCGCTTGAATCACTGCTTCCTTGCCTTGACTTCATCTTTTTAGGAAGCACCTATCTATCTGTGCGGATTGCGGCATCCCCTCCAAGCAGAGCGGGGCAAGAGGAAAATCCCATGCATCCACGTTTCGACAAAGGAGCGAACAAAGAGCGGAAACTTCGATCTCCTATCCCACGAAAACCGCAACTAGAATTGCGCGTGGCTAGAAATTCATGATATGGATATGTTTATGGATTTCATCTTGGATATAGGAAGCGAGCGGGCTGTGGGGGCTCCCCAATGGTGTGGGATTGGAGAAATGGGCCAAGTGGGAAACCTGGATGCACACGGCGCATATGATGTGATATATATAACTAGTGCATTGCGCTTACTGTAACAATAGCGTGGCGAACACCTGGAGAGATACAATTGAGGGGCGAATCCTCTATTAATTATTGTGGCGGACGTAAAGCTTGCGAAAACAGAATTTTCTGCCACCCCCTGAAAAATAGTAGCAAAACACTGCAAAAATATCCAAAATATCCATGTATCTCTAGAATCATTCAAATATCATTCAATTCATTCAAATACACACCTTTATCATCAAATATGCATCTTTATCATCAAATATGTCAATATGCTCTGTAACATCCACCATTCTATTATCTCACAAGTTTATAAAAAGACTTCAACTATTCTGCATCTTCATCTGCTCAAACTTATTATTATTATTCTTCCATTATAGATGTATGCAGTCAGTGACTATGACATCTACCTGAAATACTCCAGGATTTTTCAACTTAAAAATAAGCTAATATACAAAGTCAATTTAATACATGCAATAGCAGAATTCCAGCCCAGAATCAAACAACTATTCAAACTATTCAATTTAAGAAAGAATGTCAAAAGAATGACAACAGATCGA